CTTGATTTCAATATATGAGACATATTCATTTTGTATTGAATGCTATTTATTCCATATCTAGATTATATGAAATATTATTATAATGTAAAGACAACCAACATATAAGTTCGTGTCTGGACAGTGATGTGTGAGAGAGAGAAAAAAATCACAGGACAGATTAATCACTTTTGGAGGCTGGCTTCGTTTATTATCAAAACAAAAATAAATGACAGATTAGGTGGATGCGGGCGAGGGTGAACCTCGCGCCGGGCTGTAGAGCGCGGGCTCGACAGGCATAGACCACTCGAGGCCGAGGGCTTATACGGCCTACGCTGTCCTCGTCAGCGTCCTCACCATTAGGTCCACCAAACCTAGCTCCTGGAGCAAATTGTGAAACTCCTGAAACCCTCCGGAGGTTCTGGTGGACCCGAGTACAGCGACGATGTCCCCTACGCAGCTGTTTCTGCTCTCCAGAGCATATACGAGCGGTGACTCTCTCGAATAATGCTAATGCTAATGCTCGATAAACATCTAAAAAGATGGCCGCCAACGGGTTTCGAAACTTTCGCCTCCGGATTTCGCCTCTGACGCGCGTAAATTTCGCTTCAAACTTTTGTTGTTACGCGCGTCAATTTCGCCATTGACACGCGAATTAACACAAAGTGGTCAAGCAACTAGACGCGGTAGACGCGAATTTGACGCGCTATTCGCGTCCGGTGTGAACGCACAGTCAGACGCTCGAACTTGCCGCGCGAATGAGGCGTATTCGCATCTACCACGGCGCGCTCTACACCTCATTCGCGCCGCAGGAATTTTTTACGCGCGTAACGCGTCTTTGCATTGACTAACGGTACTGATCCACTTTTGCGACACGACTGAAGCGTGGTGTCGCACCCTCTCCACATTTGTAAGTTGATGCGCGTTCCTCAAGTTTACCACTATGGGCGTGGTTTTGACCCAGCGGCCAGTCTAGAACAAAGGCCCCTCGAGAGACTACTTCTATTGGATAGACGCGTCGCGTTTGACGGATTCATTTGCATAAAGCTGGGCATCGGCCAGCTTTTGGACGCGCAGCATTTTTTCAAATGAAGCGCCGCCTTCCCGGGATGCTTTGCGGGCGCGTTAAAGTCGCGTGACGTCACCCATAGGAATAAAGCGGAGCGCGGCGCGACTGAAGTGTTGCACGGACAAGTGGATCAGTACCGTTAGGGCCGTTACATAGTCAACGCGAGCAACATAGTATTGCGTGCATCGGCGCGTCGCGTATCAAAAACTAGGATGACACATTTGGCTACGCATCGACGCATAATGGCGGCCGAAGCGTAGCGATGTGTAGCCTTGCGCACGCGTATGCGTACCGATGCGTTGACTATGTAAGGGCCCTTAACAATTAAATCACTCGCGCCAGACGCTCTATTCTCGTCTGGTGTGAACGCACCATGATGTTTTCTCTGCAGACCTCTACGCCTGCGATGTATTGCCACATTTTGTTTGAAGGTGTGCCTCCTCTAAAAGTGTCCGCCGTCCGGGTGAAACAGTATGCTATTTTTATTTACCCGCCACGGTGGCCGGTAGGTGAAGCGAGTTTACCCGCCACAACACAAAATCACCCGCATTTGGCTGGTGGCGGGTGCTAATTTCCATCCCTGACACACACACACACTGGGTGTGGGTGGAGAAACACAAACTCACTGTGAAGGGACGCTGATGTCCAATATGCTCAATTTCTTAAAAAAAAATTTTAAACCCAACTTTCAAACTATATAAAATAATGATGTAAGCATGTTTATGAAAAATGTATGTACATATATATTTACTGTCATATATATTATTTACTGACTTATATAATATACTATCTTATATATTATATACCTTATATATATTCTTAGTACATATTATATAGTATATAATAAGAATATATATAAGATAGTGTATAATAAGATAATATATACTATCTTATATTACTTACTAACTTATAATATATGTGTGTGTGTGTGTATTTATATATATATATATATAAAAAGAGAGAGAGAGAGAGTATATAATGTTATGTTGTATAGTATCGTAATGTTTATAATGTAATGTGTGTGTTCCGCCGTGTCTTGTGTTGTGTCAGGATATCTGATCCACGAGTCTGGCGTGTGGAGCGAGCGTCTCCAGCGCTGGTTCTTCCTCCCGCGCCGCGCGAGCGCCGAGCGCTACGAGGAGACGGCCGACGAGCGGCGCGGCACGAACCTGATCCTGAGCTGCGCGCGCGACTTCAGCCAGATCTCAGCGGCTCGCGTCGGCGCGCTCCAGCCCACGCTCGGCTTCTCCTCCTTCAGGTTCATCCCAGACACCGACGATCAGATCATACTAGCGCTCAAGTCCCAGGAGGACGCGGGGCGGATCGCTAGCTACATCACCGCCTTCACGCTGGACGGGCGAATCCTGATGCCCGACACCAAGATCGGGGATGTCAAGTATGAAGGTCTGGAGTTCATATAGGCTGCGTTTCACTATACGCACACAATCCCTTCTTTACTCACATCTGACACTGATCGGCATTAGTTGCGCACGTGTAAACGCACAATCATCCGATCTGGTGTGTGTTTCCCGAAAGCATCGCTAGCCAAAGTTGCGTCGCAAGTTCCGTCGTTATCAGGATAGTTAAACGAGTCTGTGTTTCCCCGAACGAACATTTGCAAAGTTGGAACCTGATATAAATATATAATCCACAAATATGACGGTCTGGAGCTCATATAGGCTGCGTTCACACTGGCACGTTTACACCAGGGGTCTTACAAGTTAGTCATACAATTTTTTCTTTCTTTAAGACCATTCATAACTTTTTTAAGTCATAAAAACATAGGTGTATTTTGATACCGAAAAGTAAGAGTGATACCCTGACTAACTGCTAGTCGGTCATAGTTCTTGAGGCGTCATGGCAGTGTTTACGCTCCGGCCACAGGTGTGTTTGTACTGACTGCATTTACACCTGGTCACATAAATGTGTTTTCGCAGAACGGATATAAAATGATCTTCAGTTCTCGCGCTATATGCAGATTTAATGGATTCACGTCACCGGAAGCAACCGATATTGATCATCAGCTCATTTCAAAATAGAACAGCACTGGTAATATCATCTCGTTTCTTTACTTTTAACGAAGATGATTGTGTGTTAAGCGTCCGCGACTTGCTTTCACTTTCATTTGCGATAGTTTGGGCGTTTGCTTGATGAAGAGATGCTCATATCTGGCTGTCATATGTCCTATAACACGCTCTCACACGGCTATATTTTAGCATTGTTGGGAGGAGTAATATGTAGATATGTGGTTTCATCACCCAGACGCGTTTACACTTGTGCGGTCTGGAACGTGCTCAGATCTGATGTGGTTTGAGCGATCGGATTTAAAGCCGTGTTTCGGAGGGCGTTTACACCGGGTCTCTCTCTAACCCTCTCTCTCACACACACACAATTCTCTCTCTCTCTCACCCTCTCTCTGTCTCTCTCTCACACACACACACACACACACACATACTTCTCTCTCTCTCTCAACCTCTCTCTCTCTCTCACACACACACATCTCTCTCTCTCTGGTTAATTTATTTGAATTCATTACAAATATATATATATTACAGCGTTACTTTATTTCACTTCAGAATTCTAGATCTGATCTGTAGATGAATAAGAATTATTTCCGGTCCGTCAGATTTTGCACTGCAAAACATTCATGAGTTACGCCAGCTGTTCTCTCGTCCATGCTGGCAAATAATCATGACCACCCGAAACATGAATTATGTAAATAATCATTTTAATAGCACGGCCATTCAAAACCAGGGCCCAAAAATCATATCATCGATCAGTGTAAACGCAGATATCGGATACCGGTCCCGACTAAAGTGAATGTGAACAGACGGGACAGAAATCAGACGTGGTGTAAAGATGGGATGTGTGCTTTAAGACTCGCAGTGTGAACGCAGTGATCTTCAACACACACTCACGGGACAAACATGTTTATAGCCAGAACACACTGTGCGCTCTCACTACAGAAGCTCAGGGGACTGAAGGGAAACATGCAATATAGAGGACATCTCTGAACACACTCAAGAAATGTGTGCATTCAAAATATTCCAATGAGAATGATTCCAATAATTGTCTTAAAAATGCCTTTTTTTAACTACACAACCTCAAGCTATTTTATTGGTAACATTTTACAATAAGGTCTCATTTGTTAACATTACTTAATGCATTAGCTATATATGCAATATGTATTATTTATTAATCTTTATGGTTAGTAAAATATAATTGTTTATGTTAGTGCATTAATACAACTTTTGAAAGCTTATTGTGAAGTGTTAGTGTTTTATTTGTTGCTTTTTTTATTTTGAGTGTAAGAACTACACTGGACATGTTTAAATGATACGTCTTTGATTTATGGCATTAATTAAAAGATAATGGTGAGACATACATATTAAAATGAATATGCAAATAAAGATTTATTTTTAATTTGAGACAGTTTGATTTCTTCCTGCAGTACAGAACTGATCATAATTTATTACTCATGTTAATGACTTTTATACAGATTTTCAAAACAAGCAAGCAAACAAACACTCATAATAACTCCTAAATGAACGTCCAGATGATTGTGTGATTGCATCAGAGTTTAGTTCCCATCATGACCAGGTTTGGTGGAAGGCCTTCGACTTTAAGCACCTGGAACACATTCAGCGTCTTCAGGAAGTCAAACATTCGTCTGTCGTTGGATCTGAACTCGCTGAAAACACCTTTAGAGCCTGAGAAAACACAAACACACTTTATACTCTGATAACACACACAGAGTATTCACACTATTTACACTGTTTGCAGTCAAACATTCCTCGTGCCAAACGTTTGCGTGTTTTGCGTTGAGAGTGTAACGCTGTTCAGCCATTGGTCGAGTGTGGTTGATTGTGATGTCACTTGTCTCGCTGTAGTGAGTGTGTGATGTTGCTGTTTGAGCGTAAACAACATCTGCACAGTTACGACTCAAAGCTCAGAGCAAAGGGAGAGATTCGCTTTTACAGAAATCACTTTTTAAGGACTACAACAAACGGCTGGCAGGAACTACAATGAGCTTCTTCACCGGTTAGTGACATCACAAACACTAACATTTACATAAGCCCCGCCCCCGGAACACGCTTTATAGATGATCATGACAGAATATGCTAATCAATGACTAGAAGATCGTTAACTCCACATCAGCTGCATAAACTCATCAACTAACCGTTCAGAAATGTCCTGTTGCTTCTACATGTCGTCACTTCTAGAGTCTCTCATCTTTGACTCCGGTTTCAACATAAAAGGCTGAACGTTTTTGAAATGTTTAGTGTGTGTGTGAGGTAATCAGAGCTGCTAACACACACACACTCACACACTAGCTCTTGTAGCTCCGCCCCCTGTGCCGGGAGCAGCAGCTCATTTGCATTTAAAGGGACACACACAAAAATGGTGTTTTTGCTCACCTTCAAAAAGTGACAATTTTAACATGTTATATAAATATCTGTGGGGTATTTGAGCCGAAACTTCACACACACACTCTGGGGACATCAGAGATATTTTACATCTGGTGAAAAGGGCATTATGGGACCGCTTTAAACTCACCGCTGTCTCTCAGCGCTGACAGCACCTGTAGAATCAGACGCTTCGCTGCGGTGTGATCGGGAACTTTCGAGTGGACCTGAAGAGCCATGACTGATGGGTAATCCTGCAGCATCGTCTCTGGATACTGGAGACATGAAAAACACAGAGTTCAAGACATTAAACTGCATCTATTGTGCTCTTCTTCATCTGTCTTCAGTGTGTGATGTTGCTGTGTGATCATGAGAAGCTCCAGTTTTTCTCTATATCAGTGTCAGTGTTCCTGAACTCCTGAAACGCCTCCATTGTAGTCTTGAGTTTCTTCCGGGAACACGTCACAATATTCCTCATTATAATAATTCATACGCAGAATAAAGGGGCGGGGCCTGGTTGAGTTAGTTAGTAGTGTGTTAAACTGGCGGTTATGGAAAGGGGCGGGACATTTCCCAAACACACTCGAAGCGCTCGACCAATCACAACACACTGCTCCAGCCGACCAATCAGAGCACAGTGTGCTTTCAGGAGGAGGGGCTTCATAGAGACAGGAAGTAAACAGAGCGTTACTGACAGACTGGGAAGAGACGAGCCGCAACAATGGAGAATATGAGGAGAATAATCAACATTCAAGTTCTAGAAGAGACTAAATACAACATCAAGACTGTAAAAGGAAACATTATAATCAATCAAGATGTCATTTCCATACCTGAGCTTTAGTCATGGCCGTCTTTGCGTCACTGAGGGCGAACACGTAACCACAAACCCCAGAAGCATCATCTAGTATCAGACTGCAGTTCTGTGTCGGCGTGACGTGACCCTCCACCAGCCTGACGGAGACACACAGCTTTCATTACGCGTTCAGCGACCAAGCGACAAAAAATCTGTATTATGAATTTTTAAGGCCAGACGAGTTATTTGTTGAGGTCAATTTATAAAGAAAGACACGCCTGCGCACATATATATTCAAACCTCATATCTATAGACTAATAGATCACGTGTTTCTCTCACAGGTTTACTTTTTACTTTACTCACAGGTTTACTTGTGTTTACAGAGAGTAAACCTGTAAACACAGGTTTACTCTCTCACAGGTTTACTTTCTCTCACAGGTTTACTTTTTTTTACGCTTGCACCTTGGATCCTGTTTCAGGGTGTGTGTTCTCGAGCTCCATACACTGTTGTGCAAATGAACGGCCAGAACACATTAAAAGTTTTCTGTGAGAGCGGTGTCGTGTAAGTTAATAACTAATGATCTTTGCAACAGAAGTGAATCAATCAGAACTAACTTTATCTGGACTATAACTTTATTCTAGAGCTGCTGTAAAGCCTAAACACTCTCTGTTACTGTAATCTCCTGTTATCACTGTAAAGCTGCTGTGAAACTGCTGTGATATTGTTACAGCGCTGTATAAATGAAGGGACTTGACTAATCTAACTGGCATATCCTCACCGGTCGCCGACCAGCTCGATCTTCTGCTGCGTCTCCGTCTGCATCTCTTTAAAGATCTTCATCACCTCCGGCTGAAGACACAGAAGATGTTGTGAAGAATGTTGATTTCCATTGACGTACATTACCAGTCAAAAGTTTGGAATAATTATGATTTGTAATGTTTTGAAAGTCTCTTCTGCTCACTAAGGCTGCATTTATTTGATCAAAAATACAGTAAAAAGAGTGAAATATTATAATGTAAAATGCGGTGAATGTGAATATATAGTAAAGTGTAATTTATTCCTGTGATCAAAGCTGAAAAGCACAAAAATCTGAAGCAGCACACCTGTTTTCAACACTGATAATAATCATAAATGTTTCTTGATCATCAGATCCTCATATTAGAGTGATTTCTGAAGGATCATGTGACACTGAAGACTGGAGTAATGATGCTGAAAATTCAGCTTTGATCACAGGAATAAATGAAACTTTACTGTG